AAAAAAAAAAAAAAAAAAGCTGGCTGAAAGTAGTAAGTGGTCATTGGGGGTACTTAGTTCCTTGTCTCGAAAGAAAATGAGATGAAGGCCTCAGATTAAAGTACTCTGAGGGTTTTACTATGAAAACCCCAGCTACTCCAGTGACTCTTCCAAGTGATGCCTGCCTCTTGGACATAATTCTTCAGGAGGCTTCTGTTCTGGAGCATTAAAGTCACCACAGGTGGCTTTGGTTTTAGAGTTATTTCATCTCATACTAGGGATGTAGCAAGGAGGGGAGGGCGTTCCACCTTGGGACTTCAAATGAACTTTTCTTTAACTCTGTTGTAAAGTGTGGTTGGTTTGATTTTATTTTGTGCACCTATTTTATCCATGACTCTGTGCTAGATGCTTTTTTTTTGGTGATATTTTAAACTAGCACGAGTTTACTGTTAAACCTTTATGTTTAACCACAGTTGATAGAAATTTTCACAAATGCTTGACAAACTATACCATATGTAGGGTGACCATGCATTGTATTGCCAACCAGGGCACTTTGGAGAGTGAAAGAGGGCACTAATAATTATGCCAAGATTATAAGGTTTCAATCTCCTGGATGGTGATTATTACTGTGCTTTAGGGGCTAGCAGCTTGTTTGAGTTTAGAGCCTTTGTCTCAGTTCACCCACTGCTTGGAATTCTCGCTGATGGTTGTTTCTCACTGATAGTTACTTGGCTGGATCTCGTCATTGAGATGTCAGTTTAAATGTCACCTCCTCAGAGACACTTTTCCTTAGGTCAAGATCTAACCACTCTATTTCTGAATAGCTCCTTGTCTGTATTTTCTCCTGAACTGTCACCTCCATAACAGGAACCTGGCTATTCTTATGTATTCTCAGTGCCTAGAAGTATATTTGGCACATAGTGGTGCTTGAGAAGTTTGTGAAAGGGAGGTAATTAAGTTGGAAGCCTGCCTACACTTTAGGCAGAAAGTTGTCAGATACTTTATCCTTACTGCTAGTTAATGTGAATGAAACCAAGTTTTAAGATTGTGTAAAATGATACCTTGCATTCCCCACTTTAGCTACACCTTCTCTTGGTGGGTAAGCAGGATGGCCACTTGTAGCACTTGCTAACAGGTATTTACACATTACACAGTTGCTAACCTGTGGATAAACTGTTGTATAAGTGGATAAAATGCTGTATAATGTACAAACATTTCAAGGCTTGAGATTCATTTTGGGATGATGTATCCTTTTACCAGGTAAATGTCTGGGTTACAGCAGTAATCTGCAGGATTTCTTAAGAGTATTTGTGATGCTTTCACCTCCCTTTCAAATGCCCAACTGAACTGGACACCTGCTCTCACCCTTCTTGGGGATAGTTAAAACTGAACATAAAATGATTGTTTTTCCCATCTTCCTAAACCTCAAGACTTAGGATCTTGTATTCATTTGGAGCATCTTTTATTCATGTTCTACATCTGAACCGTTCAGTTCACTGTTCTGGTATTCTACATCACCTAATCAGAATATATACAAATCATAGGTGTTTAAGTGATACCTAATTCCTTAAGTGCTGTTTGAGTGGCATTGCATACATATGTGAAAATTAAATCACATTTAAGCAAACACACTGCTGCTTAAAGGCAGGCTGCTTGGTGAAGTGGCTAAAATAATTCAGTGTTTGCTATCGGCTTTTCAGTTACATGACACTGAACTGTCCAGTTTTGTAACATGAAACAGCAGATGGTACATAATGCCAAAACAATGAACTGAGTGGTTCAGATTTAGAACATGATGTTCATTTTCTCAGTAATATATATGCTTTCAAGACAGTTAACACCTTTTGTTTGCATCTTGTGTACTGCTTTTAGTAAAAAACAAGATGTTGAGTAACCTGAAGGTTGAGTACCTCTGAAGTTTATTAATAAACTACCCAGATGGGTTTTTCTTTGCAGATGTACTAAATCATTTGATGCTTTTAATAAGCAAGCAAAAGAAAGCATACTATAAACTAGTCCACTGTATGTGCAGTGTTTTGAGTATGATGAGCTCAGTATGACTCTTTATATGTCTTCTTTTGAGTTAAGAGAAGTGTTTATTGCGGGTATTTCAAAGATTTGAGAAAACCTTCCTGAAAACATTCTCACCTCCTCCCACTACCCCCTCCTTTTGTCTTGTACAGGTTTCCCAGGCAGCTGCAGATTTGAAACAATTCTGTCTGCAGAATGCTCAACACGATCCCCTGCTGACTGGAGTATCTTCAAGTACAAATCCCTTCAGACCCCAGAAAGTCTGTTCCTTTTTGTAGTAAAACGAATCTTTGGTAAGTTTCTTTAATATTTAGGGTTTTTTTTTTTTTTTAACTGCAGTGTTTATGGGGACAACTTTGAATACGTGTACTACCAATTGATTTGGATTCTGATGTCATTTCTGTAATAGAAACCAGCTCTGTAGCACAGCATAGCAGAGAATTAATTGGGAATTGGGAATGCAAGAGAAATTCAGGATATAGTTGAATAGACTGACATGGTGTGGACATTTGTAGTGGGGGATAACAGGTTTTACTCTTTATTCTTAGGTAAAGCTACAAGAGAGAAATGAAGTGTATGAGAGTTCACGGTGGCAGGCAGTGGATTTGATTTCAGATTTCAGGATGGGCTGGTTTAAAGCATGTATCCATATGTTAATCTGTAGCTTCCATTTCAAGTGTCAGCGTGTGCAAAATTGTATAATGTTAATCCAAGAGAGATTTGACCAAAAAAACATGCTGTGGATAATTTAATATGTAATCCAAGGGTGCTGCTACCTTTTATAAATTCACAGTACTTAAGTCAGAGGGTGTACTCATATTGACCTATGAGAAGCAACCAAACTAATAGTGTTTAAAAAAAAAAAAGAAAGACTATGGCACACACCCTTTACAAACATTCTAACTCCTCAAAGTGCAGGAAGCCAGCTTCTTAAAATACCATGTTACATAGTTGGTGCCCTCCCTAATTAAGCTTTGTGGATTTGGGAGTATCCAGGAAGTCAGCATGTTTCCAGTAAATACAATGATTGGTAAAGATTTTGAAACACCAGAAACCACCTTTGAGTAACAGGTTTTCCATAAGGAAGTAGCTTTTTTTAACAGCCTAACATGTTCATATTTAATAGTTAATAGTTCTTTGCTTCAGCAATATTAATTCTTCATGGCAGTTTTTGGGTATTTCATATTTTTATGGCTTATTAAAGATTCTTTTTAAACCTCTGTTCCCCATTGTATTCACTTTATAAAGTGGTTTATTTTCATTTGATGTAAAATACTGTTAAGAAACGTGGCTTCTTACCTGGCTGTTAACAGTTTCATTTTGTAGGAGTCTGCAGATAAGTGTTTAAATGACTTGCTCAAAATTATAATATAGCTAGGATAAGAACCCAGATTTCAAAGTAAAATAACAGCTACTAATCCTGGCAGTTTAATAAAACAGGTTTATGGATATGATTTTAAACACCTTGGGCCAAGAAAAGGATGTTTGGATGTAAAAGTATTTCTTCTCAAACTTGAATGTATCTGCAAATTACCTTGTTAAAATGCAAATTCAAATTCAGTAGGTCTAAATTCTAAGGGCTGAAGGATTTTTTTTTCTTTTTAATGTTTGTTTTTGAGAGTAACTGCACACAAGTGAGGGAGGACAGAGAGAGAGGGAGACAGAATCCAAAGTAGGCTCCAGGCTCTGAGCCGTCTGCATAGAGCCTGACACAGGGCTTGAATTCATGAACCATGACGTTGGATGCCCAACCAACTGAGCCACCCAGGCATAGGGCTGAAGCATTTCTTATAGATGCCCAGGTTATACAGATGTTGGTCGTCCTGGGCCCACACTGAATGGCCGGGATACATAGATTCTATATTTGAGTCTTTATATTTATGTGTTTTAAAAATATATAGTTTAAAGAGAGACAGCATAGATAACTTAGCAGTAGGTTAGAATACAAGGAAAATACAAAGACCATGATCAGCGGACCTAGAGACAATCATTATTAATCTAGATTTCCTTTTAAGAGGGAAAAAAATTTATATGCTGGTTTACAGACAGTGAGTATGTACAGTTTTTATTCTGCTTTTAAAAAACCTTTATGGATGCCTGGGTGGCTCGGTTGGTTAAGCATCTGACTTCGGCGGCTCAGATCATGATCTCACGGCTTGTGAGTTTGAGCCCCACTCTGTGCTGACAGCTTAGAGCCTGGAAACTGTTTCGGATTCTATGTCTCTCTCTCTCTCTCTCTCTCTCTCTGCCCCTCCCCCTCTCATGCTCTCTCTCTCTCAAAAATAAAAATTAAAAAAAACCTTGAACTTTATTTCATTAAAAATTCTTTGTAAATGAAATTTTTAGTGGCTGTATTATACATCATTAATACAGCTTAAACATCATTAAATATTGCTACACTGAGGCAAATATCTTGGTAGTCCTATGTATAGTTTACCTGTTTTCTTTAAGAAGTAAGATTATTCAGTAAGGAATGACATTTAAAATTTAATAACACTTGCTAACTGGGAACAAACTTTCCACATGGAGCTCAAGAGTGCTTTCTCTTGAGCCCTTGCCAAACAGACCTCAGCCTATTTGCTACTGTTTTCTACTGATCTAGTTTTTTCTAGTTTTTCTACTGATCTAGTAATTCAAATGTTAACTGACTGAGGTTAAACATTTTTTTTCACCATTCTGTTTAAGCCTCTTGAACATTCTCGTTCTAAGACAATAGAAATTTCCAAATAAGTATAGAGAACCATGTATCTACCATCCTGAATTAGTTTACCTTACTAATTTTCTTTTTTTTAAATTTTTTTTAACGTTTATTTATTTTTGAGACAGAGAGAGAGACAGAGCATGAACAGGGAAGGGGCAGAGAGAGAGGGAGACACAGAATCGGAAGCAGGCTCCAGGCTCCGGGCCATCAGCCCAGAGCCCGACGCGGGGCTCGAACTCACGGACCGCGAGATCGTGACCTGAGCTGAAGTCGGACGCTTAACCGACTGAGCCACCCAGGCGCCCCGTTACTAATTTTCAAAAAGAAATAAAAGACACTTTTTCTACCTTTCTGTATAGGTAACTTACTCTGAAGTGGGTATACCCATGTTTTTACTTTTTACTACGTTTCTTGTGTTTTGTAGTTTTAAAACATAGTTACTGTTTTTTAAGGACCAACTATTGTTTGAGATTTGTGTTGATCCTTGTAGATTGTTTTACTTGCTCTCTATCTCTAGTATTCAACGTGTGTATAAACCTCGGTTTGTTTATCCATTCCCCAGCCGAATTACATTTAGGCTATTCCTAGTTCTTCCCTCTTAAAACACCACGATAGTCAACATCCATGTATGTTTCACTTTATGTATAGGTTTATCTAGGTAAATGTTAAGTGGGGTGTCTGTCCAGTTGAATGGGGGCTTCCACATGTGAGGCAGTGATCGGGTGGAAGTTGATGGTGAGGGAGGTGAAAGAATTTACCCAAGACAGAACAAAGGAGATAGAAATTTACTGCATACACCTTAAGGGACCGGGAAGGCAGGACAGCAGAAAGGCTTGTGCCATGAGGCAGTGGGAATGGAATACACCTTAGGGGGAGCTTTGGGCAGGACAGCAAAGGAGAGGCTTTCTGCAATGAGGAAGCAGTTAGGGGCTGTTTTTAAAGGGAGAACATGAGGCGATGTATGGAATCTTCCTTTTGGTAACTGTGCCTAGTTGTAAGTAGCCCATTGGTTAGTTAGGGCCTAAGGATATTTTAATGTGGATCGCCTGATGGGCCTGTGTGTATCCAGGCAGGGGATCCATGTGGGCACTTTTTACATTCCATGGCTCAAGCCTGTTTGCCTAAAAGTGGCCTCTACAGTAAATAGAAGTGGGATTGCATCTTCTACCTTAGTAGAATTTATCAAACTGCTCTCCTCAATGCTATTGCTTATTTTCTAGGGATATTCAGATTTTTCTGAATTTAAGAGATTTTTATGTTAACTTTTAAAAATTAGGATATAGAGTATATTTGGCAGTGATCTTGGCAAGTTAATCTAGAAGTCTGTTTTTTATAAACCATGGGTGATTTGTACTTCAGAGTGGTTGTGAAAATTAAGAGAAAATTCTATTTTATATACCACAGAGATCTATTTCTCATTTTTTCCCTTGAAACCCTGTGATATGTCTGCTTCCTAAAAGGCTTGGTTTAATTGAAAGCATTGTATAAGCTAACATGCAAATGAATGCCCTCAAAGTAATAGAAGATGTATTACTTTTCAGAAAAAACTATTGTGTTTTGGTCCTTTCCTTTCCCCTAATCTACTCTTTTCTTTTCCATTTCAGGTTTTCTAAACCATTTTTCATGAACCAGTGCATATTCAAAGGAGAACTAAATTTGGAGCCTGTATGAAAGCTTATCCCTATAACACGTGCCATACTATATAAACTTCTACTTTTGTCAGTCCTTAACATCTACCTCTCTGAATTTTCATAAATTTCTATTTCACAAGGGTAATTATTTTATATACACTGGCAGCCACATACAATAAAATACTTAGTGTAAAAGTTTTTTGGTTAATTACTGGTATTGAATATACTATGTATTAATTTGTTTTGAACACATAAGATAATGGCAATTTCTCAATGTCATTAAGAAGAGGTTTATGTTTTAGGGCTTGTTCTACAGCTCATCTCACATAATTGTATACCATACATATGAAAGACTGTTAGAGAATTAAAGATAAGTTGCAAACTTTTTTCTTTCAAGGTCAGGAGGAGGCTGCTAATACTAGTTTCTACACATGAGTTATTTGCAGGATTAACTTTGTTTTAATAAAAGTTATTTAATAATGAGAAATACTAAAAAACTCCCTTATGTAGGGTATTACCATTACATCTAAAAATTAATTACTTAATAGACTGCTCTCCTAATAAGGACAGTAGAGAAAAGACATGGGAATATTAGAAGATGTTAAAAACTTCAGATGTTAAAAACTTTACACAATTCTTGAGTGGAATATTACAGTATGATGTAATGAGGTACAAAGTACCAAGAAAAATGGAACTGAAGATTAGCTTCAGTAATTTGCAATTTTGCCTTAAGTCCTTGGTAAACCATTTTGCTTTAAAAATTTGCCATTTTGAAAGGCTTAAATAAATATTAAAATATCCCAGAAACCTGGCCTCCAAAGATGTGCCAGATCCAAGTTTATTCTGGTAGAAAGCCCCTGGGTTACACAGTATCTACCAAGGACTGTATTTTTTCTCCAGACCGAATGTTCCATGAAAGTACACATGAGAAACTTACTTTGAATCTTGATTCCGACTTATTCACAATCCCTAGAAATAAGAGAATTAAATTTTAGGACTCTTAAACTGCAATTTCTAAACTCACCAAAATGACTTTTATTTGTATTTGCTACATAAACAGTGAAAGATAATTCATGGCACTTGTCCAGACATGAAAGGTTTATGAAACCCAACCAGTAGATGCCATTTTGAAAAGATGCCAGAGTTGAAATCCAAGAGGCCCTGTTGTAGCACAATCCAATACTATTCCTTCAGTACTTTATAAATGGAATTTTCTTCTACTTGTATCCATTTCCCGGGGCTGAAAATTAGAAGGAAAAAAAAAAAGTAAACAATGTTAAAAAAAAAAAAACCTCTGGGTCCATCTCTGAGACTGAATAGTCTTTAGAAGTTACTGTTCTAATATGTGTGTGTGTGTGTGTAATGATATATAAAATGTTAAAGTACTTAGGTGAAATATTGCTTATTAGAAAAGAGATGGGTTTTAAAATATTTTTCATTTAGGACTTAAAGTGATCTCCAAACTTCTATGAAACCTCTATAGCTGTTTTCATATATACAGCAGAATCATAACGCTGATAAACAGTGCTAGGCCCCTAAGTTGCTGATTGAGTAGGTCTATGGCCCAACAATTTGCCTTCTAACAGTGGTGGTCCCACTTTGAGGACCACTGATCTAATTTAGGATACTTCAAATGAACCAGTGTTAGTCATCAGACCCAAATACCTTATCAGAGATTGGTTCTTTCAAGCTCGTGGAGGTCAGAAACACAAGGTATAAGCACTCAAAGCTTAAAGTACAAAGTTTCCTTCTCATTCTATACTTTTGAAATGATATAAATGGCTCTTCAAAGAATAAGGCACATACCTTATGGACCCATTCATATTCTCCATACTTAGAATCAAAGGTTCCTTTCTGAAGAGATCTTAATTTTAAGGTAAAACGTGGTCCAAGTTCCTGAATTCCCACTTTCTTTTCACTCTTGAATATGTACCTTCAAAGATAAAGAATTAGGGAAAACAGTCTGAATAAGCCAAATGTAATTTCTTTAATATGACAGAGTTCAAAAGATACTTATTTCTCATCTATAATACTTGTCACAATACATTAGAAAACATTTTATGTTGAAAATGTATTTCATAATTGAAATCAGAGTCCCTGGAGTTAAAGAACCTTCCTCACCTGTGAAATCTGAAGAAGATATAGTCCCGTTGATTGTGGAATGTGGCAACTTGCCTTCCAATAAACTGAGGATTATGGGGAAAGAGAGATGCAAACATACGTCCCACAGAATGACCCAGCCTTGTTGTGAAGTTATTCAAAATTATTTCTGGTACGTGTTCTGTAGGGTCTTTACCTCTTCTCTAGAAAAATTATGAAAAAAAATCACATTAAGGAATTAATATCCTTATTGCAAGTTCAAGTTTCAGGATTTACCTGACAAACTGATAAACTTTAAAGGTATCTTTCTTAATGATCAATTACCACAGATAACATCAATTCCATGAAATATAATACTTCTAAAATAACTTTAACATGTAGTGGCTTTACCAAAGTCCTACTAGAAAAGAAACTGGTTTCAGAGTAATGAAGGCTATTATTGCCTGTCTGCCATAACTCAGTTACAATCTCATAAGAAAACTACTGGTAGATAAAACTTGCTTTAACCAGGAAAGCAAAGGCCATTATAAAAGCAATTAGATCTATATAAGTTACAGAGTTTACTAATCAAAAACTGCAAGGAGACCAATGCCAATTAAGGAACACGTAAAACTTACCTTAATTTCTTTACGCAAACGAACACTGCTCATTTTAAAATGAGCGGTTGGGCCACTGGGCAAGTGACTTAGAATTAATCCATCTGTTCATAAAGCTAAGAACACACTGAACTCGGTTATTTAAATCTTAAATTGCATAAGTAACTGATCCTGTGTATGTCCAAAGGCTCCTAAATTTTGTAGCTAGATGAACAGGTAGATACATGTATTCCTCTGGGTGAAAAGAAATTTTCTTACCATACCTAAAACTAAAGACCATAAGTCAACCAAATATTTCAGAAAAATAGATTATATTAGTCCCCCTATAGTAGTCCCACTTTGTCTCTTCATGGTATGATACATACCTCATCACTCTCAAGAGGGTATGTTGCATATTCAACAAAGTAGGTTTCTTCAAAGAGCTTATATACACTACCCTAATAGGAATGATAGACCAGATGGAATTCTAGTATAATGTTTAGGCCTTATAACCCTAAAAATGCATACTTACACATTTGTATGTACATTTTTTTTGTACATTTGTAAGTATATGCTGTCAGCTTTGAAATACTGTCCCATAAACCAGAGACTCAGCTCTCTTCTTAAAATCAAGGTTATTAGTGTTTCTCAAAAGACCAGCTCTTACTCTTGGGATTACTGGGCCACAAATTAGAATCAATTATTTAATAACCATTTACTGATTGTCTACCACAAGCAGACTTGGTGCTAGACACTCTCAACTACAAATGAAGTATAAGAGCCCTACCTACAATCAGCAGGGGTAGCAGTGCTAGGGCTTTAAAAGTCTAGAATGCAGCTAGCTAAGATAACATTCCTCAAATTTTTGTAACAACTTGATTTTTCCAAATACTGAACCTTAAAAGGAGGTCATAATCAGACTACTTATTTCAAATCTAACTGCACACAGTTTTACAAAACAGAAGTTTCCATTTTTGATAAAGGTATCAACATTCTCCCATTAACCCAGATTAAAAACTATGGTTATCTTCAACTTCCTCCTTCTTCCCTTCCTTGCCAAATCCTATTTACCCTCATAAATTCCTCACTTCCATAACTTCCTCTTCACCCTTATTGCTATTGTTAGTTGAGGTCCTTGAGATTTTCCAACTAGATTAAAACAGGATCCTTGCTGGCCTGACGTCTCTCCCACCATTCCAAGTACATTTCTAATACAGACAGTAAATCGAGTTTGTATAGTAGGCTATGGGATGTGACTCATTGTATCTGGACCACTGTTTCTCATGTGCTAACTGAAAAACAAACTAGATACCTTGAGTCTTGATAACTGTACCTAATTTCAGAATACTCTCACAACAGCTTATCTACAGAGTAAAAACATCACTGTAACACTCTGTGGCCCCAAACCACCTTTCTAATCTGTATGCCTTCCCCATGTTTCCTAACTGGTAGACACTGACAGTCTTATACACCATACATATTAATCCTATCATGTACTTTTGTTCATGCTATTTGAAACACCTGCAATATTTAACTCCTCCATTAAGGCTCATTTCATCAGTGAATTCCTTTATGACTATTATTTTATATATCTGGTTGCTTCCATGTTGGGGGCATATTTACAAATGTTATATATTCTTGTTAGATTGTCCCTTATATTATGATACAGTGCCCTTCTTCATCTCATTACACTCTGTTTAAAAAGTCTGTCGAATACAAGTACTGCTACTCTGGCTTTTTTGACATCCATTTGCATGATAAATGTTTCTTCATCCTGTGTCTTTCATCCCAAGTCTTTCATCACTTGAAATCTGCACGTGTCTTTAGGTCTAAAATAAGTCTCTTGTAGGCAGCACATAGATGGATCTTGTTTCTCTACCCATTCTGACACCCTATTTTTGTTTGGCTTTTTAAGTAGGCTTCACATCCAGCGTGTAGCCCAATGCGGGGCTTGAACTCACAACCCTGAGATTAATGAGTCACACACTTAATCAACTGGGCCACCCAGGCACCCACTCCCCCTGTCTTTTGATGGGAGTATTTACTCCATTTACATTCAGAGAAATTATTGACAGATACGCATTTAGTGCCATTTAATACTTGTTTTGTCATCGTTTCTGGAGAGTTTTCTACTCAGTTCCCTTTAATAATTCTTTCAGGGCTGGTTTAATAGTCACGAACTTCCCCATTTTTGTTTGGGGAAATTCTTTTATCTCTTCTATTCTGATAGCCTTGCTGGACTATTTTTGGCTGTAGATTTTTCCCATTCAGCACTTGGAATACATCATGCCACTCCCTTCTGACTTGCCAAGTTTCTGTTGAGAAAGCTGCAGCTAGCCTTATGGGTCTTCCCTTGTTAAGTCAGGGACTTCTTTTGTCTTGCTGCTTTTAAGATGTTTTTATTAGTATATTTTGCAAGTTTAATTACAATGTATCTTGGTGTTGGACTGCTTTTGATTTTGATCAGAGTCTTTCATTTTCTCAACCCCAGTGAGTATCCTTGTGATTGTTGCTTTAAATTCTCCAGCAGACATGTTACTTATGTCTGTTTCACTTGTTCTTTCACTTGGGATTAATTCCTCTGTCTTGGCATTTTTTTTCTAGGTCTCTGCCTTCTTCTCTGTGTTAGAAAAGCCCTTTAGGTTTCCTGCTTTTGAGAGTAATGGCTTTATGAAGAAGAGGTCCCATAATGTCCAGGGCCTGGCACTTGAGGGAATATCTCGTGTGTGCTGTGTGCGCTCAGTTGTTGTGTTTTGGCTGCTCTATCATTCAGGCCAGTCATCTGCAGAGGCTGGCCTTGCCTGCAGGGGGCAATGTTTAGTACTTGGCCAGAATGTGGTCAATTTTAACTAGGTGTGCTCTGATCTGCTTATCAAATGAGACAAGATACTACTTCCACTAGAACTGAAGCCCTGCGGAGCAATCAGATAGGGAGATGTGGTATGGGCGGGGGTTTCTGTTGGTTTACTGGGGAAGGGGCTTGCCGCCTTGGGACTCACGCAAGCTTGACCAAGAAGGGCAGTACTGTTATTAAGGCTCACTTCAAATGCCACCTCTTTTTACACAGTTAACATTAAGCTTTAAATCTCAGCTGTCACTGTTACTTACCTATATATAGCACTTGTCACTGATTTGAGTTATAATTATGTAAATGACTTTCTTCCCAACTAATCTGTTAACTTTTGGAAGATACATTTGTTTCTGATAAATACTAGTGCCTACCACATACCAGATTATCAGTAATGTTTGAATTCCTTCTTTTCAAAATTTCCTTCTTTTCAAAAATTCATCACAGGTTCAACTTCTTGAGGTACAGCCAAAAGTATTTCTGGATCATTTGCACAATGAAAAAAATCACACTCATGGGAGCTAAGAGAGGTAAAGGTAATTTCTTCCAATCTAAATCAACACTTCCAACCTAAATCAAATCTGCAATATCAAACAAATTGCAGATCCCCAACTTTCTAGGACATTGCAACTCAATTGTGGTTTCTGTCAAAACTACAAAATCCAAAATAATCCTTTCCTACGTACCCACATTGTACAAAAAGCTTTACTTATTCCTAACATAAATTCCTAACATAAATCCTGAAGAATAGGAGTTCATTATCCCTATTAGTAACAATGAAAAGAGGTTGAGAAAGGTTAGGTAGATAAGCTCAAATTTCAGAGCTAGGTGGCAGATCGTAACAGGTGGGACTACACCTGTGCCCAAGCCCTAATGCATACAGGTATTTTGTTATGATGACTGAGGCAAAAAGGACATTTAGTCCCCAAAGGCCAAGAAAGCAAAACAGCCTACAAGCTGCCAAAAGTATAGGACAAAGACGTACCTAACTCAAATTTCCATTTAGAAATAATCAATAGAAGATGTTAGGTGTCTCCAGGAAAAACTTCCGCGCTTTCTCCTATACCATAACATTTACTAAAATGCCCACAACAGGACTAAGGTATTATGCCTTAAGAAACATAATACCTTAGGGGCGCCTGGGTGGCTCAGTCAGTTAAGCGCCTGACTTCAGCTCATGTGTGATCTTACCATTTGTGAGTTTGAGCCCCGCATGGGGCCTGTGCTGATAACTCAGAGCCTGGAGCCTGCTTCAGATTCTGTGTCTCCCTCTCTCTCTGACCCTCTCCTGCTCACACTCTGTGTCTCACTTTCTCAACAGTAAATAAACATTAAAAAAAAAATTAAAAAAAGAAACATAATACATTTAATGTGGTCTTTGTGGGAAACCTGAAGATTTAGGTATCATTTCCTATTTTAAAAGATGAGGAAACCAAGTGGCTAAGAAACTTGACAAAAGTCACATGTAATGAAGTCTGTATTTAACATTACATCTGCCTGACCCAAAGCCACCAGACTCAGTTTAGATAGTTGACAAAGCTCTTTTCTAGAGTTAAGTTGAAAATTTATAAGCCATTCCCACCATTTGGCACTACTCTTTTACACAGCAGCCCTTCCGTATCTTGTCATGCCCCATATTCTAATTTCCCAAAGGCTGTACATCCTCAATTCTTTCAAGTTTTCTCCAAGTGTCATCATTAGGGGTCATGATTTGTTATTTGTAAGCCCATGTTAAGTCCCTAGGAATCATACACCATTTCTATTATGTGCTTACAAATTAGTCTCCCTTTAATTATTTGACATGTTTTTTTCTGGATCATGGCATATATTAACCAGCAGTCCTCTTTCTCCCTCCTTCCTCCACTTGCCTGTCTCATATATCTTCCCCCAGAGTAGCAAAGTCTCCTTTACAAGTTTGTGCACATAGTCTTTGAAGCCAGGATATCTGACCTTATTCAGAGTTTCTAGGCCTTATCTTACAAACTTTTTATCCAAGATGGACTTCCAGGGCCCCCCAGCAATCTCCTCATTAGTCTTGAAGACCATTCTCTGTTAACAGAGAACACAAAAGCAATTTAGGAGGTCTGCTTTCCTAGCTTGTTTCACCAATAATTTGCCATTAACTCATTACTAGATATCAATTAGAAAAGAAAATGAAATATCTCTGAAATTATAAAAATCAACATCGAGGCAGGATTATACTGATACAAACTCTATTCACTAGGACTTTTAGAAACTGCTGCATAATTCTATACTCAAAACTTATAATCCTGGGACACCCATACACACCTGTGTGCATATATATTTACGTGTATAGGAGAAGCAATCTCATATTTGGATTACTTCATTAGCCTAGTTATTTCCTTAATATAAATTTGGTCTGTGTACTGATGGTATCTTAATCTAATGGTTAACTTACCCTACAAGGTGTCCAATATGGTAATCAGAAAAATATTAATACATTTTGAGTAAAAAGACAATACAATTTTATAAGGAAAAGAGAACATAGCTTTCTAAAGGCAATAGATGGTGTAAGTGAAACGCAGTATCCATATAAAATAGCTCAGATAAAACAAGGATACAATGTTTATTCAATTGATGAATACCTGCTGGCAGCCTTAAAATAATGATGGTTTTTTTAATTGCCAAAAATAAAAGAGGAACACAGACCTTGCCACTTTATTTTGGGAGGTAGTTTTAAGAAGGCACCAACTACATTTTTAAAAACAGACCTCTTCTGGAATAGTTAAGTATTCAAGAGATTTTAGTTATTTTGGTACATTAACCCACAATCCAAGCCAAATTATAATATGGCCAAAAAAACATCACATTACAAAGCTAGCTCTAGTCTATTTTAGTCTCTAGAAAGCAACTCGTACAAGTGGATAACGTCTTTAACTTCTATTGAAAATAGTAAAAACCATAAAAGTTATCTAGATTTTTAAAAAATAGCTTTGACACCATTTTTTTTAAAGCAGTGTTCATTGATTTAAAAAAAAAAAAAAAAGTTATCCTGGCAGCAGGAAACTCCTGTCCCTATTTTTTATGAATCCTTAATAATTTTAAGAATTTGACCCATTCAGTTGATCATCTTTAAAATTAGTGATCTCACAGCCACAATTTGATAAATAAAACAACAGCAACAACAACAAATATAGGCATTCTTTATATGATCTAATTTCTGCAAACAGTAAAAAATACCTTGGTTTCAAGTGACACAGTCACCTAGGATCTGAGACTCACAGAAAAAGGATAGAGTATTCTTGGCATCTGAAACAGCAGTAAATACATAAAATGGGCTCATATCTGCCTCAAAAATGTAATCCTGTGATACCACCTCTGGTAACATAAAATCTAGCCATATCAAACTACTTGCAGATCCCCAACTGGGTCTGCTCCTTAATGCCTCTGCCGTTACAAATGGTCTCTCTGCACTGGGCTCTCTTCCTCTGCCTTATTCACCTCATTCGCCCATACTCACCAAACTGAGTTAAGCACTTTTTCCAGTCAAGTCCTTCCTCCCTGATATCCCCAGGGCAGATTTTTACCAGAGTGTGCACTGTATCCTGTATTTCTCTTTAACTGTACTACCCACTCTACATTTTTGTTAGTTTACATTTCTATTTTCTCCTACTAGATTATGAACTCCCTAAGGCTCCTGTTTATCTCTGCATCTTTTACTAAGGACTAAAGTAATGTCTTGCCTATAGCATTTGCTTGAATGAATATTTGCTAAATGAAAAAAATAGTTTATAGATTCTTGACTAGAGATACATAATTTTCTTGTTTAAAAAATTATGTTCTGAAAGTTATAGAAAACATTTCCTTATTCTTTTAAATATGTTTTAAAAGGGGGTGAAGGTGAGACAGGAAAACTTTAATAAAGAAAGGATACTTGGTGTTTTACGATCTTCATTAATAACGATCAGATCTGTGAAATCTCTTGAAATGCACTGTGGAATAATTTTTTTCAGAGCCAATCCCCTTCTGTAATAAACATGTGAATTTGGTATAACTGTGGAGAGTTGTTCACACAGTCGTACTGTTCTCTGCAAAACAAAATAACAGAAATCTTCTGAGGTGAAAAGGAATAAAAATTTTAAGTTGGTATACATTAATAAGGAAAGGAGCAATGATTAATATGTGTTATTAATAAAGAACAAGGGTAGGGAAAAAAATGAAATCTGAACAGTATTTAATCCTTTATCAAAGACTGACCATCCTAAAGCAGTGGTTCTCAACTGGGGGTGATTATGCCCCACTAGAGGACATTTGACAATATCTAGAAGCATTTTTTGGTGGTTATGACTGGTGGTAATAGTAGGGGACAGCTGGTAGTGGTATCTAGTGGGTAGAGGCCAGGGATACCGCTAAATATCCTCTAATGAACAGGGCAACCCCCATAATAAAAAACTACCCAGCCCCAAATGCTAATGGTGTTGAGGTTGATAAACCCTATCCTGAAGAATCATGCTTAGAGAACCTACATCACATCACCAGTATTCATTTTATTTAGCTTACTCACAGGCATTATCTATTAAATTACTAATTAACTCAGATCTTCTGAAAAGAATTCTTTTAAATAGTCTAGGTAATGTAAGAAAATTAAGAATTCAATAACTACACTGATAGATATGTTTACCCCATGAGGTCTATCTGATGTTGTGATGAGAATCTTGGGAGAAGTTTGTCTGTTGAAGTAAGAAGCAAATTCATCTGTAGCTTCATCATAAGCAACCTGTGAACAGAAAAAGGATAATTTTATATCAAACACTCTACTGGGCCAGAATTTTAAAAGTAGCTCCAGCAGGATCCTATGACACTGACCTCCTTCTTGGCTGATAGGGGATTTGAAGACAGCCAGGAGGGACTTATATTAATGGTGACATAAAGAGGTTGGGTGATTTTCTACCTGTAGAATACAAGTATAAAACTGGAAAAAACTGTCAAAAACAATTTCAAGACACAAACTGAGCTGTTTTTTCTTGAAAAATGGCTAGGGCTGTGGGCAAGAACATCAGGAATCTTCCTTAGAACTATTCCATTTCTTCCATAAACATGGCTACAAAAATAGTAACTTTATCAACTTCAGGTCTGATGGTAGGCAAGAACCAGCAATCTTGAATCAAAGGTGGTAAACTGGATTTGGGGAGAGGTGCGTTTGAAAACCCTAGCTTTGCCAGTCTAAAGTTACTGAGCCAGTTCAGGGTAAGTGCGGATCAGCCAGAAATTCAAAGGAGAGCTCTGGAAATGTAAGAGCCATAGAGGAGCTGAGATAATCTCTCTACAAATCCCTGGCTGACAGCTGAACTATACATGGGACAGACCTAAAAAACCAGCGCACACAAAAGGTGAGGGAGACTTGAAAACTGGTTGCAACTTTGAATGCAGTCCTCAACCCACAGGTAGCTCAGTTGATAGGGGCTCAGAGGCTCAAGGTATCTCAACACAATCTCTGCCCGAATCACTGACTTACGATTGAGCCACACAAACACAAGGACAATCACTCAGGAGGCAGGTTAAAAATAACAATAAAACAAACAAGTGGAGACACAGTGCTGTTAAAGGAAATTCAACTTTTAATGTTTGTGGGCCTTGCTCCTGGGCTCCCAAGGAAGTTATACTTTTACCAAGGTCAGAATGATTTCGCCAAACTTCAGAGCCTGGGATCTATTTCTACCCCAAGCAAATAACCTAAAAAATACTTTAAACCAAAGATAAGAGTAAAAATCTCCCGGGGTGCCTGGGTGGCTCAAGTTAATCAAGTGTCCAACTCTTGATTTTGGCTCAGGTCATGATCTCACGGTTTGTGGGACCGAGCCCCACTTAGAGCTCTGTGCTGACGGCACAGATCCTGCTTGGGATTCTCTCTGTCCCTCCCCCACTCATGCTCATGCACACCCACTCTCTCTCTCTCAAAATAAATAAACAAACCTAAAAAAAAAAAAATTTAAGGAAATCCTACAAGCTGAAAGAAAATGACACCAGATGGTAACTTAGATCCAAGGAAAGGAAAGAAAAGCACTGTAAATGGTAAACACGAAGTTAACTATAAAAGACTTTTTGTGTGTGTTGTATGTGTAAATTTCTTTTTTTATAAAACAATGAGATATTAAAAAAAAATTTTTTTTTAACGTTTATTTATTATTGAGAGACAGAGAGACAAAGCATTGAGCAGGGGAGGGGCAGAAAGAGGAGGAGACACAGAATCCGAAGTAGGCTCCAGGCTCTGAGCTATCAGCACAGAGCCCGACGCGGGGCTCGAACTCATAAACCACGAGATCATGACCTGAGCTGAAGTCGGACGCTCAACCGACTGAGCCACCCAGGCACCCGAACAATGAGATATTTTAAAGCAGAAATTACAACACTGGATTTATAACACAGACAAATGTTATATATGACAACAGCATGAACAAGAGTGAAGGAACAAAGCTATACTGGTGGAAACCTGTTGTATTTACCAGAATCATGTCAGTATGTGCTGGAAGTACACTGTGCTAAATTAAAGATGCATGCTGTAATTCCTACAGAAACTACTAAGAAAACCCTTAAATATATAACTTAAAAGATTAAGAGGTATTAAAATAGCATAATAAAAATATTTTTTTAATATAAGAGAAAGCCAAGGAGAAACAGAATAAAGGTATAAAATATAGTGGGGCACCTGGGTGGCTCAGTTAAAAGTCTGACTTCAGCTCAGGTCATGATTTCACGGTTTGTGAGTTTGAGCCTCATGTCGGGCTCTGTGCTGACAGCCCAGAGCCTGGAGTCTGCTTCAGATTCTGTGTCTCTCTCTCACTCTGCCCCTCCCCTACTCATGCTCTGTCTCTGTCTTTCTCAAGAATAAACATTAAAAAAAAGTATTAAAAAAATATATAAAATGTAATGAAAAAAAGTAAAAGGGCAGATGTAAATATGACTACATCAATAGTTAACATTAAATATTCATTGTCAGGGGTGCCTGGGTGACTCAGTCAGTTAAGCGTCTGACTTGTACTCAGGTCATCATCTCACAGTTCATGGGTTTGAGCCCCGCGTTGGGCTCTGTGATGAGAGCTCAGAGCCTGGATCCTGCTTTGGATTCTGTGTCTCCCTCTCTCTCTGCCCTTCCCCCACTCACACTCTGTCCCTCTCTCTCTCAAAAATAAATAATAAACATTAAAAAATTTTTTTAATTAAAAAATACATACTAATTGTCAGGCTGAATAAAAAAAGCAACATCTGTGACACTTTATTATTATTATTTTTTAAATGTTTATTTTTGAGACAGAGTGAGAGAGCAGGGGTAGGGGTGGGGAGAGAGGATCCGAAGCAGGCTCTGCACTGACAGCAAAGAACCCAATGTGGGACTCGAACTCACAAACAATGAGACCATGACCTGAGCTGAAGTCTGACACTTAACTGACTGAGCCACCCAGATGCCCCTGTAAGTGACACTTTAAATTCAAAGATATAAACTGGTTGAAAGTAAAAAAGAAGAAATGAAGAAAGTAAAAAATGAAAAAAGAAGATATACCATGTAAACAGTAACCACAAAAGAGTTTAGGTGGCTATGTGTATATGAAAGAAAATAGACATTAAGAAATATGGCTATGGACAATCGAAGGGATGGGACAATATGGGACACTGGATTAAGGGTCAACTGAATAAGAAGAGATGAATAATTCAGCAATTATAGTTTGAGGTTTCAATACTCCTCTCTCAGTAACTGATAGAAAATTCAGCAAGAATATAGAAAACATGAACACCACAATCAAACAACTTAAAACAACTCTTAATATACTTCAAAACAGCAAAATATACATTTCCAAAGGAACACAGAACATTTTCAAGAATAGATCTTATCCTAAAACACAGAACAGTTCTTTACTTGAAAAGGACTAAAATCAAACAGAGTATGTTCCAGAACCACAATAAAATTGAATTAGAAATCAACAGCAGAAATATATGTGGGAAATCCTCAAATATTTGGAAATTAAACAACATACTTCTTGATAATCAATGAGCCAAAGAAGAAATAACAAGAGAAATTAGAAAATATCTTGAACAGAATGAAAATGAAAACACAACAAACATATCAAAAGGTATGAGATGTAGCTAAAGCAGTGCTTTGGAGGAAAATGATAGCTTTATCAGATTATATTAAAAAGAAAGAAAGTATAAAATCAGTAATGTAAGCTCCCATTTTAAGAAACTAGAAAAAGAAGAATAAATGAAACCTTAAATAAGTAAAATAAACAATATAATAAGAACCGGGGGAAAACAAGGAAATAAACGTCAAGCAAAGAAAAAAAAAAAAGAAATTACCAGAAGAAATGAACAAATCTCCCATTAAAGGAGATACTTAGATTTGAATAATAATGAAGAAACACGTCTTAAAACTTGTGGGATATACCAAAAGTGGTACTTACAGGGAATTTTGTGGCCTTAATTGCTCACAATAGAAAGGAAGAAATAGAAAGGAAGATGAAAAATGAGTTAAATAAGAAGAATAAACTCAACAGAGTAACAGGAAATAAATTATAAAGATAAGGAGAGATATAAATAAATTAGAAAACAAAATTTCAAGAGATGATCAAAGAAAAAAGTAGTTTGAAAAAGAGTAACAAAATAGATGTATCTCTGGTGAAAAGCCCAAATAAATAATATTAGGAATGGAAAGGGACATTTCTGCAGTCTCACTTATAAACATAGATGTACATATTCTAAACAAAGTACTGACAAACCAAAACGTGTAAAAGATAAAACATTGTAATTAAATTGTATTTACCCCAAGAATGCAAAAGAGATTTAACATTAGAAGATCCATTTCATTTCCTACATTGGTACTATAAAGGAGAAAAACTACATATTTATCTCAATATTTGCAGAAAAAGTACATAATTATCTCTATTTTCAGAAAAAGCATTTGATAATGTTTCACATTCATTCATGATAAAACAAACACCCCCCTCCCCGCAGCAAAAAAAGAAACAGATTTTCCTTAACATATAAGGAGAATCTACCATTAATGACACAAACATTAAAGATGGCACGTTAGAAGTATTCTCTTTAAAACCAGGACCAGGGCATAGATGCCACTATTGCGTTTTCTATTTGTTTCACATTATGCTGGAGGCCCTAGTCAGCACAAAAGAAATAAATGATTAATGGATTGAAAGTTATTTGTAGAAATGATTAGCTAAACATGAAATGAAAACAATATTTAGACAAATTATTGGAGACGAATCTAGGTGATCTACTGTTTAGAAGATCACAGTCCAAAAATCAATTGTATTTTTATAAATCAGCAAATAAAACAATTCTCAATGAGGTGATTTACACTGATAAAAAACATAAGATAGCCATCAACAGCTCTAAAAAGATTTATATGTACACCTTGCATGAAGAGAATTATAAAATTCACTGAATCACATTTTTAAAGACCTAAAAAGAGCAATATACAAATAGATCCCCTGAGTGATCTACTTTAATACAATTTTTATAATTTTATATGGCAGACCAAAGGTCCAAAAAGAGAATGAACATTCCTGAAGAGAAATTTGAGGATGGATGTGGGGAGGGGCATCTTGCTCTAATAGATAAACTTACCATGAAGATAAATAATTATAAAAATAAAGAAGTGATACAGTGACAAACTGACCAAACTGACCAATAGCCCAGAAAAAGGCTGATATTTTGTGTGTATATGTGGCACGGTGCTTGGTGCACTGACAGATGCCAAGTTCCTAAAACAGATCCCAGTACACAGCAGGCAGTCAATAAACATTTGCTAGAAGACTGACTGACTGACTGAATGAATGAATGAATGACTATATGAGGAAATAGGAAAGAATGTCAATAATAGTATGGTTTGAAAGCAAACAAACATAACCAAAACCAAATTCCCTGCACACACACAAAAAAAATTTAAAACTTGATTCTCTCACCATACTGTAACAAACTATTTAAAGGGAAATGTGAAAAGTGAAAAGTGGATGATTATCCTGAAACCAAGAGTTTTATGAGGACACAAAAAATATCAAATGTTATCCTTATATCAAAATTTCTAGTACTATAAAACTCTATAATGAGAAATGCTTTTCAAATGATATTAAAAACAACAGAAGTACTATAAATTAAATGACAAAAAGTTTACCTGGTCATAAAATATAATACATTTCTATAAAATGAGTGGAATCAGAGTTTTTCCTATAGCATTATTGAGAAATTCAGTTATGAAACAATCTATAGCAAATAATATACCAACATTATAGCTGAATCAGTCCATTATACAACTTCACCAGCCAGTACTTTAACTATCAACATATGAACAAATAATTTGTCAAATGTGGTCATACAAATTTATTTAAGACTTCCAACATTACCTCTTCATCATTAGGGTCTACTATAGTTTCATCATGCACTCGCTGGTTGTCAATGGTCTTTGGTATAGGCTTTGGTGGAGCCTAAATTAAAAAAAAAAAAACAAAAATAAAAAACAGATTAAGTTTTAGAAGGATTTTACGTTAATAATTTTGCAGTTGGGTTAGGGAAGAGTAACAGAAATCTGTAAATAATCCAAAGCCTCAATCTGTTCCTCATTTCCATTGCTGTATCAATCCTAACAATAATACTAAGAGGTTTTTTTTTTTTTTTTAACTCTAAGCAGAGACCTAAACATACTGGAAGAATTGCTAACTGAATGAAATGGTCTAAAACCATTCAGAAGTAGCAGAAAGAAGAAACTGCGATCAAAGTAATTATACACTAAGAAAAATATCAAATAGATTGGAAAAATTATAGTGGACCCTTGATCAACATAGATTTGAACTGTGCAGGCCCATGCAGGCCCACTTATATGTGCATTTTTTATAGTACAATACTATAAGGGTATTTTCTCTTATAATTTTCCAAATAATATTTTCTCCAGCTTATTTTATAGTAAGCATACACAAGGGCGCCTGGGTGGCTCAGTCGGTTGAGCGTCCAGCTTCAGTTCAGGTCATGATCTCACAGTTTGTGAGTTCAAGCCCTGCATCGGGCTCTGTGCTGACGGCTCAGAGCCTGGAGCCTGTTTCGGATTCTGTGTCTCCCTCTCTCTCTGCTCCTCCCCTGCTCATGCTCTGTCTCTTTCTCTCTCTCAAAAGGAAACATTAAAAAAAAATTTATAGTAAGCATACAGTATATAATACATATAACACATAAATATGTGTTAATTCACTTTATGTTATCAGTAAGACTTCAGGCCAATAGTAGGGTATGGGATTTTCACGTGTGCAGGAGTAGAGTTGGTATTCTGCACCCCAAACCCCATGTTGTTCAAGAGTCAAATGTACAAAAGGTACATATATATGGAGCTTTGTTCCAATGCTTTCAGAAAGCTCTTCAGAAATAAATAACAAAGGTTGCCTGGGTGGCTCAGTTAGTTGGGCACCCAACTCTTGATTTCAGCTCAGGTCATGATCCCAGGGACTAGGGATTGAGCCCTGTGTGGGGTTCTACGCTAAGCATGGAGCCTGCTTGGGATTCTCCTCTCTCTCTCTCTCTGTCCCTCTCCCCACACGCATGCATACATGCATACTCTCTCTAAAATTAAAATTTAAAAAACACCAGAAATAAATAACCAAAGCTACAAATCTATCTGCTGAACTAGTAATTCCAGTTTGAGGCATTTATGGTAAGGTATGAAAGAGAGAAGCAATTTATGAACAGCAAATACAGCAAACATCCAAAAACAGGCTAAAGACTGTGACACTTCAACATAATGGAATATTATTAGAATTGGCAATCATGTATACTCAGCTTAGACCAAAAAACTTTGTAAATGAAATGCTACAGAGCAGGAATACAGAACTGTAAGCATATACTGACTAAAACAAATTCAAAACATGTGGGTTTGAATGTTAGCAGAGATAGGAAGAAATAAGAACTGCTAAACTCTTTAGGATTTCATTTCTTATTACTTTATGAAACAAATATTAAGTTTTAAGTAATTTTTTAAAGGAGGCAGTTCTAGGAATTCATTTTTTCAGTCCAAAAACAAGAATGGTGATATATCCAAAGGTGATTGGCATATTTGCTATAACTGGCTGGTTACTAAGAGTTAAAAGAGAGGGGCGCCTGGGTGGCGCAGTCAGTTAAGCGTCCGACTTCAGCCAGGTCACGATCTCACGGTCCGTGAGTTCGAGCCCCGCGTCAGGCTCTGGGCTGATGGCTCAGAGCCTGGAGCCTGTTTCCGATTCTGTGTCTCCCTCTCTCTCTGCCCCTCCCCCATTCATGCTCTGTCTCTCTCTGTCCCAAAAATAAATAAACGTTGAAAAAAATTAAAAAAAAAAAAAAAAAAGAGAATAACTGCTGATAGAATTCTGCAGGTTAAAACAGTCTAAAACTGGCAATTTCATGTGATTTAACCTAGTCCTATTAAGAGAAGGCATGAAAAGGCAGAGTGTTTAGTTTGCATATAATCTTTACATTTTTCATTTTCCTCAAAAATGCTTATCATTCCTTGGTACCTTATCTTAAGAGACAGTAGAGGAGGAAGAGTTGTATGTTCTAAAAATTTTGCAAGCATAAATCAAAATCTAACACTAGCTATAAATAAAATTAAAGGAAAACAGCTTAGTTGTGGATGTATTTAGCAGTCCTTTTAAAAATTTTCAGTAGACTTCATTTCTTATCAATATCACAAAAGTAGCCAAATCGTTTTTGGATGTATTATCTTTACTCTCTTCTTTGCCATAGTCCATCCAAGTATCTCACTTTCCTCCCACTTGCCATTCTCAGTCTTCAAAGGGTTAATATCCTCTGTATCAGCTTTCATTCCTACACACCTCAATCCTACAACAGAACAGGCTGCATCCTGCCTTTCCCCAAGAGCCTTTGCTTCAAGTCACAAAAACTCCAACCACAGGCCTAAACTGGGAAGCTTCCCCAAAAGCTTTCCAAAGTCAGAAAGCTAAGTCTCTATCTCTCAAACATGTAAAATGAAGTAAAATAAGCAAATTACAGTAGACATACCATTTACATGAAATTTTGAAAAAAATGCAAAACATCACTATTGTGTTCATTGTTTAGGGACACAAACCTAAAGATAAGAAAGAAATGCATGGGAACAAGAAAATGGCAATTTCATAAGTGGTTGGCTTTGGAGGGGAAAGCAATCAGTAAGAAGCATCCAAAGGACTTCGAAAATTATTTGTTAATGCAATGTTTTCTAAGCTAGGTAATGAATGGAAAGGGGTTTGTTATTTTATTTTCGTATCTTTTATACATTGGAAGTATTTCATAGTAAGTTTTAAAAGAAAGCGATACAACATAAACATAAGGGAGCATTACTCAACATAAGACAGAAAGCAGGTGGCTAAAAATGTTATTTACCTTATCACCAAGAGCTTCTCTCTCTTTTTTAAGTTTTTTCTTAATTGCCAACTTTTCCTAAAAGGTTTAAAAAAAAACAAAACAGAAAAATATTGAGAAACCATCAGTTATATCACAAACACATACTGAAACTACACATTACTAATGCTACGGCCACTTTATCTCAGCAATCTTTGTAACGCATTAAAGCAAACACCCTGACACAGACTTTCATACCAAAGTGATTGTAAACCAAATAAGCTGGCTAATCAATAAACAAAGGTCTTTCTCCTTCAAAAAACTGAAATTGGCAAGTATGAATATTTAAAGTTTGCCTTTTTACCTTTTACTTTTTATCTTACTGTAAAGCCTCACATTAAGTGAAAATGTGAAACGCCCATCTAAACTAGTTAACACGTTTTTGTGGCTGTTTTATTTTGCATTCCTAACAAGTTGCATTCTAAAGAAAACCATGATGGCTATGCCGGTTGCTTCTCTTGGAAAATACTACAAGTAAATGAGAATGGGAGATGCGTTTTCAGATTGCTTCCAATAAACCACCATTAGTTATAAATTTTACAATCAAAATATGCTTTTAAGATTATTAAGGACTTGCAAAGTGAGTTACATTTGTACTGTAAATTTGTACCTGCTGGAAATTTCTGAACAGAATGCTCACTTACACACACAGAAAGTGCTCTCCCGGCCACGCCCTCCCCCCCAACGCCTGTAGACCCTCCATACGTCAAATCTCACATTATAGTGTTAAGAAGTCTTCGAGGAGGCCCTTCCCGCAAACGCGCTCACCAGAATGAGTTAGATTCTCTACGTACTCCAAAAGCACTCTGGCGCTTATGAGTAAGGCACTATTCAGGGCTCAAAAGATGTAGTATCTAATAAGAGGAGACAGGCAAGTAAAAAGAATATTATGTGCGGGAACTTTTATGATGTACAGGAATAAACAAATGCTTGCTTCCGAGTGCAACGTAACCACAAATAAGCACTGTGATCTTGAGCTTTGTTTATCTCCTCATATCTGTTTATCTCCTAGAACAGTATGAGGACAACGCTACAAATATAATTACCAGAAACTTCACAGAAATACTTTAGGTAAGAGTTGCTGCCCAGGAATCAGAAAAGCATCACTGGATTCACGTACTGCCTGTATTACAGGCTCTAGAAATTTGCCAACGTTAGGTGCACGGGTCGAAGCACAGAGATGGGAGACTTTCTCCTTCCAGGTCAGGAGGGGGATTTTTTTTTTTTTTTTTTTTTTTTCCCACTGCTAGGAGAGCGGGACTTCTTGCTTTCATTCTCAGCCAGGGAACGTAGGCAGGGGCTGGAAAGGAAGAGAATCCTCGTCGCTCAGGCAAAAAGCTGAACCTAGACAGAATCCCCAAAGCAGTGCGAGGGGACCAGGACATTAGAACGTCAGCGTCATCCTTCTAGATTAATTACCGCCTCCGGGACGCCAAGCCACGGCCACCACGCAAGTGCTATTCCCTTCCCCACTGTCGTGCGCGCGCGCGCGCGCGCGGGTGCAGCGCATGCGCCCTGCAGCCTCGGCCCCGTCATACCTTTCGCTGCTGCTGTTTCCACCGCGTGAACATTAAGTGTCGCCGTTGTTTGTTCTTAATTTCCGAAATGCTGAAGCCTGGGGGAAAGGCAGCCGTTTTCGGGGGTTGGACCCCGCTTTCCGTCGCCCCATCCTCAGCGACTGCGGCCTCTTGAGGTTCTTCGGCGGTTGCTTTCCGCTTCAGGCCTTTCTTTCCTTTAGTGCCGCTCTTATCCCCGGCCTTCGCCATGGTGTTTGCGCCGTAGCGTCTGTACGGAAACGGAAATAGCTTACCCCTCCGACTCCCTTACCTAGTCTTTTACTTCCGGGGTCAGGAAGTTCTTAAAGAAAAACGTGGACTGCATTGTGAGCTTTAGCAGTTTTAGAAGGTGCTGAAATTTAGTTTTGAGGAAAGTTTAGGGGGGCTGCCCAGCTGTATGAATAGTGGAGTGATGAGTTCGCAGAAGTCTTTATTAAGCATCTGCTATCTGCCGAATCCTCAAAATACTGAAACAAAACAGTCTTTGCTGTATAAAATTTACATTCTACTGGAGAAAGACCTGAAATGAGCACACAAATAGTGTGATGAGCTATAAAGTAACACATGGCAAGGAAAAAATAGAACCGGATAAAGGAAGAAGAGAGGGTAGAGGGGCAGTTGCAGCTTTTAAATAGGATTGTTAGAGAAGCCTTCTGGAAAAAGTTACATTGAGCAAAGATTTGAAAGAGGTAACCGATAAACTATTCAGTTATTTGAGAAAAGAGCTGCTTATCTGAGTAAAGCTTTTATCTAGGAAAAAAGCTGTCCATGCAACGGAAACATACAATTCCAAGACTCCTAGACTGCAGCAAGCATGGTACGTTTGGGAAACTGTGGAAGCCAGGAGTAATATGAGAAAGGAGGACAGTGGGTAGGGGAAGGGTTTAGAAGTAAGAGAATGTGTAAGATTGTGTAAGAGCTTTGGCTTTTATTTTATGTGAGATGCACATTTCCTGGAGGATTTTGAGAAAAGAAATGACACGATTTGACTTACATTTTGAAAGTATCATCCAAGCCCTTCTTTGGAGAATAGACTTTAGGGGAAGGAAAGTGAAGGAGGGGAGAAATGACAAGTGGCTTGAACCAGAGTGGTTCTAATGGAGGTGGTGAGAAGTGATCAGATTCTTTTGCAAGGTATAGTTCCTGATGATTGAATGAAGTGCATGAGAGAACGAGAAGAGTTTAGATGACCCCAAGACTTTTGAACTAAGCAACTGGAAGGATGGGGCTATCATCATTTGAGATGAGACAGACTTAAGGTAGAGCTAATTTGAAGGGTAAGATCAAGATTTCAGTTCTGGAAATAATTGAGTTTGAGACACTTAGTAGTCAACTGATTGTTGTTGTTGGTTGGGATGTATGGTTCTGCAGCAGGAGACAAAGGTATGGACTAGAGATAAAAATGTAGGAGTCATTGGAATATAGATAGTATTTCGAATCATTACAGTGAGTGTGGATAAAGAACTGAAAAAAAGAAGAGGACCAAGGACTGAGCACTGGAACGATCCTGCATAAAGAGCTGGAGAGAAAAGGAGGACCCACTAAAGGAGAATGAGAAGGGAAAATGAAGAGAGTGTCATAAGAGCCAAGGGAAGAAAATGTTTCCCCAATGGTTAAATTTTTCTGTATTCTTCACTTTAATTTCATGAAAATTAAACAGAGGCAAAATACTTCCTTTTGGTGTACTGTTAGGAGTTAGTTTTCCAGAAACTGCCTTAATTTGAAATTACATGTTTAAATATTGACATTGAATGTTTTGATAATCCAATATTTTGATGTCCATACTGCATTTTTTACCCATTTAAGTTCTTTTACGCAGGATGTTGAAAACATCAAAACTTCATCTTCCAGAATACAAAACCTGCTATGAAGTCACAAGTCCAAAATCGTGATTAGAAAACTAAAGCCAGCATATTTAGATACAAAACTGAATTATGCAATATAATAGAAAGGAAAAGATGTTGAGCTCTAAAATTACTGACATACTTTGGTTTGGCTGCAGTAAGTCATAAGATTTTATGTAACATCTAAAGAGGAACAATCAGATCAAGAACGAGAGGAGGGGGAAGTAAGAGGAGACAAACCAAACTTTATCTAAAAAATATAGACTGCAAAAGTATTTTGGAAATGTCTTCTAGTCTTAATATTTTATTTCCCTACATATAATATATACTTTCCTCATAAGAACACAAAATAATCCTGAAATGTATTATTTTTTTAATGTTTATGTATTTTTGAGAGAGAGAGTGTGAGTGGGCGAAGGATAGAGAGAGAGAGAGGGAGACACAGAATCTGAAACAGGCTCCAGGCTCTGAACCGTCAACACAGAGCCTGATGAGGGGCTTGAACTCAGGAATGGCGAGATCATGAGCTAGGCCAAAGTCAGATGCTTAACGAACTGAGTCACCCAGGCACCCCAATCCTGAAATGGATTTAGATAATTGTCTTAAGTTTATTCAGAGGTACTATACAAATGAGATTATAAGGTGATTAATATAGAGACTTCCTATTTTTTCTTCATGGCTTATTTGTCAAAACAGTTGTGTGAGTTGAATGAAAGGATTTCTGTTATCAGAATAAAATCCATATTCTGCAGAAGTCACAAAAGCATTGATCAGTTCTGCCAATATATATTTAAACTGCTCAATAAAGGAACAGTGTGAATGAGTACGATTGAAACAGTGGGCTCAGGGCGCCTGGGTGGCTCAGTCGCTTAGACACTATAAAATCTCAATTAAATCACATAATCTCTGTGAGCCTCAATTTCTTGATCTGTAAATGGGGCTAATTATATTGTCATGTAGGTTGTTGAGATAATGTATGCTAAAGAAACATATCCAATAAATGCTAACTAGCTGTTTTTATAATTCTGGGTATAAAAGACTATGACAAACAATGTGGAGAAAAAAGATACCATGATTGCCCTCAAGTAGCTTATAGCTTAGAAAAAGTTGAAGCATAATTCTAGTATATGTATTAAAAAGTGGTTCAAAGGGGCGCCTGGGTGGCTCAGTCGGTTAAGCGGCCGACTTCGGCTCAGGTCACGATCTTGCACTCCGTGAGTTCGAGCCCCGCGTCGGGCTCTGGGCTGACGGCTCAGAGCCTGGAGCCTGCTTCCAATTCTGTGTCTCCCTCTCTCGGTGTCCCTCCCCCGTTCATGCTCTGTCTCTCTCTGTCTCAAAAATAAATAAACGTTAAAAAAAAAAAAAAAAGTGGTTCATGTTGAGTGCTCCTTAACTTGATGTCCATTTCGGCCATTTGCTTTTTCTCACTAATTGCTTCATTGTCTGATATTCTCAGGGTACATTCCCGATACAGTATATGTTGTTTTAAAATGAAACAATTTAAATATTTAATAAATATGTTTTGCTTATCTGTATTCATTCTGACATATGAGATACCCTGAAATAGAACTCTTGGACACCAGATGAATTCAATGATCCAAACTAACAAATGACCAAGAGTCTGTTCACAAAATTGGATCTATTATTTTACAATATGACTTAAGCTCTTTGTATCACAAAAATTATTCCAGAGGCACAAAATATTAATCCATTGCATAAGAATAAGGGGTACCAGTTTTGGGATTGGAAGATGTTTTATTTATAATGTGGTATAAACGTTTGACAAACCTTTGTTTGACAAACACTAAATTAATGCTTCCTGAACTTGAATTATGCCATATAATTTGTTGGTAAGAACTGTTAAGGAAAAAACAAAATGGGGGCCACAGTTTGAAAATATCTCTAGACTAACCAGCACTCATAGTCACATAACCAACACTTAAACTATTCTGATTTCCCCCAAATACTGACTGATCTAAAGCAAAACTTGAGCTTTTTTTTCAAGTCAGTGTCACTTTGTAGCTTCCCAGCTAATCAGCTGCACACAATTAAGCTTGCACAGTGCTACTACACTAAAAAGACTAAGTTTTTAGTTATCAAACACATTAAACAACAATGTACTCTCTCATTCATGCTTTATAAACTGAGTTGTAACTGCTAAAAGCTGAGCTCCTAACCCCTTTTAGCTTGAAATCTCTCTGCGGAGAGTTTTGTTTCTTGCTCAATAAAATGTTCATATCAAACAAAGCTCTCAGAAGTTTCTTTTGACAAAAACAATAGACCTGTTACAGAAGTAGCCTGTCGACTGTGGATGCTTTCATTGGTACTCAAGAGCTGTTATTGGCCCTTAAACTACTTATCTCAAGGAATTTTGAGAATCCTCTTTTTTTGTTTATTCTATACTTTAAGCTGTCTACATGATTAAGGAGGTTTGTTTCTCGGGCTTTACTGACCAGGAAGTTGGTTGAAAAGTTATTACAGAGATTCATAGTGTCAATAGGACTGTCACAGTGGCAGCTTTCCTGTGAAAGACGTTAAAGTCAGCAAGAGTATAATCAGTACAATTTTGTGAGATGTTAGACCCACACCCCCTCCTACCTGAAACTCAATTAGTGACTCAAACATGAAGATTTTTCAGATATCAAAGACCTGAAGAATAATTGTATGGTGAATGCTGTCATCTTGGTATACTCCACACTGTGAAAGAGACATAATGTGTGTGCTACCCTTTCCAGAAACTAGAAACATATTAGGAGACCAGAAGTTTTCTTCCAGAAATAAGTCTTCAGATCATGCCTTTGGAATAATTTCTAATCGTTTCCTTGAGGCATTTAACTTTTTTCAGCATATTCTAAACTCGGCCATGATGCAATAGGATACAAGGGCAGTTTTTACTATATTTCCCGAGTGACTTGATGCTAAGCAATAAGGTGAGCTATTTGGATAAACAGATTCTTTTCTGCCTGTTAATATTTCCAGAGTGTAGGGGTGCCTGGGTGGCTCAGTTGAGCGTCCGACTTCGGCTCAGGTCATGATCTCGCAGTCTGTAAGTTCGAGCCCCACGTCGGGCTCTGTGCTGACAGTTCAGAGCCTGGAGCTTGCTTCTGATTCTGTGTCTCCCTCTCTCTCTGCCCCTCCCCCTCTCATGCTCTGTCTCTCTCTCTCTGTCAAAAATAAACACTAAAAACATTTAAGAAAATATATATTTCCAGAGTATATGTAGTTCCACATGTGTCTTACCTGGTGATACACATTCTTGACCCCTCCTTGACCAGGGAAAGCAACACCACAATCAAATTGCAGTTTCACTAAAATATCATCTCCTAAAATGATTTCTGGTTGTTTGGGTCATCAAAGGAGCTTTTATGTATATCTTTGGAA